GCTGCCTGTGCAGGCAGATCTGGCTGGGCCAGCCCCGTGTAAAGCTAACCCTGTCCCGAGGCCCAGAGACGCTGACAAGCAGCAATCCATTAAGAGTGCAGTTGGGGGTGGCTGTCCTGCATAGGTGTTCCTCAATTTCAAGAATCCTAAATCCAAAGGTAAGTCCAAAAAGCAGGAGGGCTTAAAATTGTATCGCAGCTTAGCTGGGATACCACAAAGGGCGCCATTTTCCTCATTTCTTACGTGAACAGGAGCAAAAAAAACCCCTCTGAATCTCACTGCTTACAGTGTCATTTCGAACAGCTCTTATCTAGCGTATGTACATCTATAAATAAATGGCTTATTTATAAATGACAGCATTTGGATCACTCTTTGGGGGCTCATTTTGCTGAATCACGTACAGGCAGACATCCACGAAACAGCTCCTGCTCTAAAAATCTTGCAATCTGGCTTAATACAAAATGTAATACGTAAGTGATGAGATTGTGCAGCTGCTTAGACAAACAGAATTTCTGTTTGACGTCTTTAGGAAGTTTAAGCTTTTGTATGTGTGCATTATATAAATATATATATATGTATGAGCATGCTCTTACATTTCAATCCATTGAGACATCATAAATTCTTGGATTTCTTTTTTATCCGCTTCCTGTTCACTTTTAAGGAAAACACTAATCCTGGGACTGCTGCCGGTAACAGTCATCACCTGCTCGTTTGTCAAGTGAGAAGTTTAACGAACAGTACAGCACACAATCTGACCCATTAGTCTTACTTACTCTACACAAAAAGCGACTCAGATTCCTGAAGGTTAACCACCTCTCTTTGATGTGAATCATGCAGAACACACAGGAGTGACCACAAACTTTCTGTCCATGCTGTCTCCTACCTACCACTGTGCCGTAGTCTGATTTTCTCTATGGCAATAGGAATTTTCAGGCTTTGTAAATTCATTTAATCGCTGATGTCTCTGGAACCATGTGTTAATATTTTATGTTATGGCTATTAGCTGGCCAGTAAACTGTAGAACTGCAAGCCAAACTCATTTTATACAAGCTGGAGAGGCAACCTGAGACCATAATGAATTTCTGCCACTGTCAACCACATCTGGATTCAAACCAGATGCTAACAGCTGAGAGGCTCTTTAGCCTGTTATGGATCTTCTAAGCCACCCAGTCTCCAGTCTTTGCCTGTCTTGACTGAAGATTATCAAAAAGGAAATCTATAGCTTAAGGAAATTCTTCCTGGTTCAGTAAAGTCTGGTGGGTAACTGTACTCTGCTTTGCTTTGTCTTGACCCCAATTACTAAACACTGATAAGGATCGGGAAGTAAGTGGTTGTATTATTTAACAAATGAAAGGTCAAAAGCGCTGCTATTCAGCAAGGTCAAAGGTTACCATCACTGTTATTAAACAGTTTGAAAGCAGTTTCTCCCATCGGTTGCCATCCCAGCCTCAAAGAAGGAGCTGCTCAGCAGCCGGGCAGCCAGGAGGGAAGAGAGACACCAGGCATCATTCAGCAGGCTGCTGGCTGGGCAGCTTTTTCTCTCAGACCTGCTTCAGGGAGGGAAGGTGCCATGCTCCAGCAGTGCACAGCAGCTCCCATTGGAGCACTGAGCTCTCCCGCCTTTGCCAGGAACACACATGTACCTGTGTGCCAAAGAGCTTCAGCTCCTCCCAGCTCCACCCTGTTAGAGCTGGCATCCTTTTGGGTGAGAAATCAAACTCCAGTTCCCTTCTACTCGTCGTGGGCAAGGTGCTGAAGCTCGCAGAACGATTTGCAGCATCAGAGTTAAACATCTTGAAATACACGTAAGTTACTGCTGAGCGCACAGTGGCTCCTGTATGCTTGCATAGCTTTAGAAAACATTTGAAAATACTTCTAGTGATGTAGTAGGAAGTGAGCTCATCTTCCTTCATGTTCTCTAACATACCTCATCTCAAAAGAAAAATAGTTATTAATCCATTGTCACCATTTCTGCTGGTACAGATTAAGGAGGCTGCCCTCAAAATACTCTTGCAGGACAACTGTAGCTCTGTCCGTAGCATCTATTGGGCTGAGAGTGTGCAAGTTAAACTGCTATCCATCATCCAGATCACTTCTTCATGTGGTGGGGACAGCCTGCAGTTGGTTCTGATGCAGCAAGAAATCAGGGTTATTCCTCCCAGGTGCCTTGAATATAAAGTTTGCTTTTCCTCCCAGTTATCTCAAAAGTTCAGACTGTCTCTGGTTTCAGAAACCTTGTGGCTTTGAATCATTTTCCTGCGTGTAAGTCATTACTGTGTAAGGCAAATAGGGTAGTAAAAGATCATAAACAAGAAAGGAAAGTACTGAGTTTTTCTCAGTAAGGAAGACGATAGATGGCTGCTTGACAGAACGGGAGGAGATTGTGGATGACAAACAGTTGAATGAACTTCAAGAACTGCTAAGTGAAGTCTTGAGCTATGATGAGCATAAAATAAGGAACTGGAGCCAAGTAAAAGTTTTAACAGCAACAGAAAGGACCAGGGATGTCCCTACCTGGTACAATACAGGCACTTCCCTGTGTCTTGGAGACTGTACTGAATATGGCAAAGCTCTGGGAATACTATGACTGCAAACTGTTCAAAGAAAAAGGATGTGGGTCTTTTGGCTTGTCTGGGACCAATGCCATTTTCTCTGTCAGTGAGACCTGAGCTAGCTGCACCCAGTCACTGGGAAACTCGGAGAGGAAAGGGTGAAGGTGCAATATGTGCTGTGGGCTGGGCTCCTCCACATCTGGAATCCCTGCAGTAGCATTCTCAGTAACAAGTCAGCAAGAAATCAGGCTAGTAGGTCAGGATGGGAACAGCTGCGCTGAGATAGAGGAAATCTGTGGGATGACTGCGACAAGCCTTCCCTGGAGATTCTCTTTAGCATAATCCTGGACAGGCAGTATGCCCAAAAAAGTGGTTATCCTGCCCTACCAGGAAAAGACAGGCACAAGAGCCAAAGATCTTTGTGATTTTTGTGACATGAAGTTTTCTATGTCTTTAAGGTTCATTTAATGCTTTTCATCACTCCCCTAATACCATCTATCTTCCTGACTGCTCTTGGCACAGGGGGACAGGTAAAGAGTTTACTGGGGTAAGAAGTACCAATGTGCTGATTGTATCATCTTGCCTGGGCATCACATTAGTAGTTGTGATTCTTCCAGCTGGCAACAGAACAGACACGTCTGCCTTTGTGTTTTTCAGGTGCCCAGAGGGGTGAGATGCAGCCCTCTGACCTTGCGCCAACCATGCTGCCAGACAAACTGCCGACGGTCTGAGTGGGAGGATGCAGCTGAGGAACCCTGGGAAGGGAGAAACAATATGGTGAGAAACTGCAATGTAAGCGTAGTCCTGACTGTCTTTAGGCTTCAGGAGGATTTAATGCATTGATATAGGTTTTATCCACATTTTGGGCTGCCCATCATCCTAGTGTCTTGGCAGTAGGAGTCAATATATTCACAAATAACTAATACAGGGTTTTTTAGACATCTGAAGCAAGGATAGGCACTGCATGAAATATTGCCAAATTGTTTCAGTGATTCCCTGGAAGCAGCTTGCTGGCAATGATCCCTGGTCTTTATGAGTTCAGTTTTTAGGACTGACAATTGTCTCATCTCTACAAACTGCAGTTGCTACGGTGAAATGGCAGAAGAACATGTCTTATAGTGGCAGGGCTTTTCAGAGCCATGATCAAGACTACATATCACAGAGAGGAATGAATCAGCAGCCATCAGTAAGCACAATCTTGGTGTAAAAAAGTTTAATCAGCTCGTTCTTGGAAGAAAGGCCAGCAAGTCTGCAGCTTGCAGTTGGCTCCAGGCAGAACCTCTCTAACTGTTAAGCAGAGGGGCAACAAAGACCTGGGTGATGTGTGAGAAAAGCATGTAGCAAGCTGACGATGGGACGAATGTTTCTGGCCTACTGCTTGAGAGTCTGGAACAGAAGTGAGGAAGTGGATCCAGGAGGACTCTGGGATCAGAACAATTGACAAGGCAGATCTCATTAACCAAAGATGATGTTTTCAGAAAACATCCTTCTTCTAGTAAGCTTTGTTGTACCTAGGCAGAGCTTATTCCCATTGGAGACATCTGTGTCTCTCCCTTTACCAGATAGTCAGAGACCGCTGGCCTTTTCTCATGTCACTTTCTATAGTGATTGCTATTTTCAACACTTTTTTTTTTTTCTGAGGAAGATGCTTCCCAGTCTGAAATTTCTGCTCAGTCTCAGCCACCTGCTTAGAACTATTAACCTTTAAAAATGTGCAGGAGCCAGAGACCAACTCAGATGGGGTGGCTGGCTTCAGATGACTGTCTGCGCCCTCCAAGCTTCAAACACCCAGAGAGGTGTTTGTATTCCTGTCTCTGGGGCACTGACTCTTGTCAGCATAGTTTAACCATCCCCTCAGCGAGCCTTTTGCCTTTGTGTGGATTCGCTCTTCCCACCTGCTGCTGAATTGCTTTGTTTGAACAACCCAGCTGCGTCATGCTGATACTTCTGTGTGGTTTCTTTTCCCAGTAATAGAGTTGAGCCAGGTAAATTCTATCTGAAAAGGGGAGGAAAAGAGGGGTCCCTGCACAGCATCTGCTGTGGAGTCTGTCCCTCCATGTGCAGCATGTGGTCCTTGCCCAGCCAGCCTTGCAGTTGCACTAACAAAGGAGGGTTTTCCTCATTTTTACTGCAAGACTGAAAAATACGTTCATTCTAGTTCTGGAGAAAATGTTACTACTCTGAATTTTCCAGCCTTTCTTTCCTGCCTGTGCTCAATTCTGGGCAGAGATTGAAGAAATCTGAGATGACCCAGGAGAGAGAACAGCACAGACCTCTGCCTAAACTGTTTGAATAGCTAATACCCTTTCCAAATACTGGCACCTGGGAATCCTTTAATGACTTGGATGGTGCTTTGGGTAGACTGAATATCTCCTTTCAGAAACAAAGACTTATTATTATTATTTATTTATCTGCCTTAAATCTTACAAGGAGTTAGAAAGTAACCCTTTCTTGTATTACATTCCTGCCCCTGTGATGGATATCATGAGGCCAAAGCATGCTCTCATTTACTGTGATTTGACAGCAAGTGTAAGCCTATATTAGGGCAGATATGTCAGATTTATGTCACATTTTCAAAGAGCAGAATTTCTCCCTATTCATTTAGTAAAACACACACTGCCCATTCAGAAGGAAATTATGTATGAAAAATGTCAAATATTAAATAGATGTGTGCCTCTGACATAGCTATTGAAAAGCTAAATAATCATTGGTAAGGAGAAGGGTTGTCACTGAAAGAAGTACTAGACCACCCTGTAAAATGCATTTATCCTCTGTGTTGGGAAATTGTTTTAATCAGCTGAACCCTTCTTGACATTTCTTTATTGACAGAGCTCTGGTAGGAGAAATTTTCCCTTCTTGTCTGCTTAGAGACTCCTACATAATCTAAAGAGAGAACACAGTCTGTGGTTTCATGGGCATGCGTGAAGACTCTTCTTAATGATCCAGAGTCATAATCCTTTGAAATTTATTTCCTACCTCTCTCCTTCTTGCCTTGATTTGTTTATCATTGTCTGCATCACTCCTAAAACCTGATTAACTCTGTAAAATCATGATTTGTAGGCTTGAGCCACACAGTTCCTTGCAGACTCCAGCCTTTTTTTGGTTTGATCTCTTTTTCAGTTCTCAGATCTTTAAAAAAGTGAAGAAATTTAAAGCAAGAAAAGCAAATAAGTAAATGCTGCAACTTTAGAGATTTCCCTTTACATGAGCCCAGCTTACACCTGTAAACTGCAAGGGTGGAGGGTCACTCGAGATTTGTTCAGCACCTAGCAGAATTAATCCTTTCCCTAGTCTCTCTTGCCGTTTTTAGTCTGTACGGGAATACAAGTAGCGTCACATAGAATAATGATAACAATTACTAACAGCTTGCTTTCCTGCAGTAATTGTTATATTTGCCTTTGCTTCTACCAGCCTCTACCTCAGAATTTCCCATAGCATAGTCACCTTGTCCATGTCCAGCAAGGTCTGGAGGTCATTGCAGATCTGAGCCAGGGAAGTTTCCTCAAGGACAGTAAGAGAAACCACATGCCCAGGCCCCTGCTGTGAGTTTGTCAATGCAGCAGCACAGCACTATACCAATGGAAAATGGGATGGGTCTCACATACTCAGTTGTTTGGGCTTTATAGCCACCCACAGGGCAATTTCATGCTCATGACAACCTTTGAAGCATAGAGGTGCATCTGAACTTCGAGGCCTCGGACTGTTTTCCAGCTCAGAGGCCCAGATGTGCACCGCAGTCACATCCTGCTTGCTTGTCAGGATGCAGCCTGGGTGTGTAACTGTCTGCCCTCTCTTCCCTCTCCTCCTTCCCATGCTTCCTGGTTTCCATTGGAAAGAAAACTGGGATTGAGGGCAGGGGAGTGGGTATTGTGGTGAACTCCTGGTTTAGACAGCCATAGTGTCTCTTACGGTTCACCTCGGACTAATCACACATCGCAAAGCTCGACCTGGCACAGTTAGAATCACTATGGGATGGGCTGTTGCCAACTTCTGAGCACCTGACACATGCAGGCTTGGACTAACAGCAGTGCTTCCGAACCAGATTTCCTTTCCCAGAGAACCACCATGAAACAACCTCAAGCACTGTTTGTTTTACAGCTACCACTACCAGCAGGGATGAGTTAAGGTTAATTGTTTTGGGAGAGAGCTGTTCAGGTCAGTACTGACTGATCTGGATACCTAGTTCTAGGACTTCAGCGGGTCTCTGTGTGCAAATCTTTAATCTGTTTCAAAATACAAAACAACTTAATGTTTCCTTTTCATTTGACCACAGCTTTATTTTTGCCCCTGTTAACCCAGAATCACATCTTGGCATCTTGAGATCATTTATCTTTGAAATGATGGGCCACAGCTGTAAGAACTTGGCTGAGGGTAGGTGAAAGCTGCAGCCTATTTCAAAACATCCACTTGATGTAAGCAGAAATAGGAGCTCAGGTAGGCTGTTAGACGTGTGTACTTCTGAGTGGTTGGAAGAATTATGCTGTGAAAAAAATTGAAATCAGAAACTGCATATCAGTTAAAATACAGGTTTCGTGACAGCCAGAGGCTACTGGTTGAAGCCTAGATCTGGCAGAATTTGGGGACAAAGCTTTAATTGATTTTGCTGGATCAGGATCTCATCTGTAGAGTGTAAATGAGGAGCCAATGGAACAGCAGCTTAATGTTTTGCATGGAGAAATAAAATTATAAACTACAAAAACTTGATGAGAAAGTTGAAGTCGTTGTGAGGTGGCTACACACTCTGAAGAAAAGCTGTGAGATAACATCACAGGAGATGATTAGAGCATGACTTGGGCTCTGGTTGTTGGGAGTACCTCTCTCCCAAAGAAAGCTGACAGCTGCTCCACATTACTGACTAATGTGGACTCCTAAGGGGAGAGATGCCTCACAAATTGCTTGTTGTGAGAGCACAACAGCATGGTTCAAACTCCCAGAGGAATTCTGGTTACAATTGTATAACAATGCTAAAGTCCATTGAACTGATTGCTCAAGCCAGAAGTAACCTTGGCTGATGACTAGCTCCCTTGTATGCTGTAGAAATCCTACCTTGTAAACATTCATAGACTTTGTACCCACCAGAGCAGCCCCCCTGCTCCCTCAGTAGTAAGAACATCAAGGGACTCATTCCTACCCTGTAAGACTTGGTTTGGGAGAAGGCAGCATGCCTCTCTTTTCTGTTTAGTTTAAATAGCACCTCCTTGGGTGCTCTGAACAACTTATGAAGAATAACATTATCGTTTCTCTTCTCCTCCACTGTTTTTAAACTGAGAGATTTAATGCTAATTGAATCTGAAGGTAGCGAGGGAAGCTTCTGTTTGTGCATTTAGTAAGTACTTCTCTTTTTAAAATAATGTTTTACAAGGGTTCTGTCTTTGCAGGGTTATAACTCTAGGAAAGACCTGGGGTGGATGAAGAAACCTCTCCCTCTCTTAGGTGCTGTGTTCTAGGAACAGATGTGAATTGTGTTCTATGGGCAACTCATGTTGATTTTTTTATTGTTACAGAGGTTGGGTCAAAAAATAATGGGTCTAGTGAGGGTAGTTGAGACAGCAGGCCTGTGGAAGTAGGGAACAGGCAAGTAGCAAACATGAATTTCACTGAACAGACTTTGCACAGCAAAAGCTTGGTAGACAGTGCCCTCTTTGTTCCACAAAGAAGAATGCATCCCTCTGAACCTTGCTGTTACAAGAAGCAAAATTCTGGCTAAGTAGTGTGTTGAAGAGATGCCAGCCGTTCAGCCTAGCCTGCTTAATCTTTGTGTGTTTGGAAATCCTGCGCAAGTCAGGGCTCCTTCAGCCCAAAGTGGAGACCACAACAAATATTTGAGCATAGACTTTTGTGTCCCTGCAGGGAGATCTAGCAGACATGGACACACAAGCCTTTGCCAGCAGAAATAAAGAGGGGCTTTGACCTTCTATAGGAGCACCAGAACCACATCCTCTTCAAATGCTGTTTCTGTTGAAAGGGTCTTGGAATTTAGAGCCTTTGCAGGACCCAAATGCAGGGATCCGGCAAGATCCTCACTTGTTATATTCCCTGTGCCTCTACTAGATTTCAGCCAGGCTTGTTGCAAACTGGAACCAGCTCTCCTCTCCTCATTTTTGTAGCAAGAAGAAGATGGGTCTTTTCGGGGGACCCTCCAGTTTGAAAGAAACACAAAGCACAAAGGTGCCAGGGGCTAAGAGCAGAGTTTTTGTGCTGCAGGAAAATACAGAGTTTCTGGGTGTAGAAACAAACCTGCATGGGAAGGATCTGGAAGTAGCCTCATTGCCCAGTGGTGCGGAAATGTGTGTGGCGGACAGGCTGCACTCGGCATCCGGGGATTTGGCAGCTGCCGTGCCTGGCGCACGCACACAGGTGCTATAGAGGCCCTCAGCTCCTCACAGTTCCAGGAACTGGAGGAAGAGGCAGCCAGGAGGAGCAAAGAAAACACAAACTGAATAATCAGGAAAAGAAGATAAACTGTGCTGAGTGGCAGCTGGTCTTTAGAGAATGGGCTGTGTAAATACCCCGAGGGCCTTGTGCATCATCCCTGGGAAGCCAGTCCCCCGGAGAGGGACTCAGCTGGATCACCGTGCCACTCCACACTGGAGGTATGTTTACTTCTGCGCAGCCCTCTGTTTCCTGTGAGAACATTCCCCTGCTCACGACCAATATATGCTGACCTTTCAACACGCAATGTTTCCTTTCTGTGTCCGTGCACATCTGTCCATGCCAGAAAACTCCTCCAAATGAATTATTTACAGCTCATGCTCTTCTAGGCACAGAAGGCAGAGGTGCAGTCCAGTCCCGCTTTTCCCAGTGTCAAGTGGGGGGTCCAGTCACCAAATAAAAGGATTCTTCATCTTGTCTTCTATGCATAGGTGACATACAGTGTAGTTTCTCTACCTGTATGTTCTTATACTGGAAGCAGTTTGCAGGAAAACCTTGCCTGGCATAATTTTCAGCATCATATATACTGACAGCTCTACACTGAAGCTGTTGCAGTGGTTGGGATGGGTGACTTCTGGAAGAGGAATGCAGCTTGCCAGCACAGGGAAGTTTCAGTGCCTGCTGTTAATGTTGCATCTGGCTCTAATTGTGCAAGCCATCATTCAATGAATGTTTAACGAAAGGTATCACCAGTTTGCCCTTCTAATTTACCCCTAAGTCCATTTTGTATCTGCTATGTCCCTTTCTTTTTCTTTTCGTCCTTTGCTGTGTTTCCCTCTTCTTTCTCTGTCTCTGTCCCTCCCCTGGA